CAAAAAATGGCCATGCCACGCGGAAATCTCCCGAAAATATAGTTTGGATTACGCTTTGGTGCTCATGTTGTGCAAAGAATTCCATCCAAAGTTGTACAAAAACGAATTTGCAACTAATTCAGACAAATGGTGTCTTAACGGTTGGCTCTAGAATAAATTATGGTGTTTTTTATGGACTTTATATAGACAAAGAACAAATTGTTGGTCCCAAAAATGAAAATGCCACGCGGAAATCTCACGGACATATCGCTTGGGTTAGGACTTTGGTATTCATTTTGTTCAAAGAAGACATTCTATAGTTGTACAAAAACGAAATTGAAACGGAATCAGACGAATGGCGTTTAAACGGTTTGATCTGGAATATATTTTTTTACGAAAATTTATGCATTTTATATTATAGAGAAAGAACAAAACTCTGGTCCAAAAAAAATGACCACGCCATGCGGAAATCTCACGGACAATGTTTTTGGGTTAGGGCTCTGGTCTTCATTGTGTGCAAAGAAAACGTTTAATAGTTGTACAAAAACGAATTTGCAACGGAATCAGACAAACGGGGTTTAAAGTGTTTTTTACAAACATGTATGCACATTATATAGAGAAAGAACAAAACTCTGGTCCAAAAAATGACCATGCCAAGCGGAAATATCACGGACTAAGTTTTTGGGTAGGGCTTTGGTGGTCATTTTGTGCAAAGAAAACCCTCCAAGGTTGTACAAAAATGAATTTGCAACGGAATCAGATAAATGGTGTCTGAACGGTTGGCTTTAGAATATGTTGTTGTTTTACGAAAATGTATGCACTTTATAATTATGTTGATAAAGTTTGTTTTTGAGTAATTCACCTACATTCATGATTTATTAAGAATTGCTTTATTGATAAAAAGCTCGATTGATAGAAAGTCCCATTATCATCAAATTCCTTTTTGATAGAAAATATTCTTTTGCTTTCTAAGTCACATAACGTGAGTTTTTTTATTTTAGAATGGAAAAGGAAGTATAATCTAAATAAATACAGGTACTCCTATTTGCTAAGAGTTGTAAGTTAAAAAAAAATGTTTTGTCAAAGGACATTTTAAATTTAGAGAACTTTTAGTTAAATAAAATAAGGGTTATGGTGAGAAACAACACCCTTTTTAACTGCCATTTTTATTTCTCATAATTTAACGAGTTCTAAATGCAGGATTGAAAAGTTATTTGTTTTCTGATGCACATTTATTATGGTTCTGAAGACACCGAAAGAATTCTTTTTATTCATTCAATAGTGTTTTTTGGAATGTGCACTTTTTAATACCTAATAAATTGAATTTTGTTATTCTTTTTGTCTCAAAAGGATGCACATAGTCGATAAATTGTAGTGTCATCACTTTCTCTTCCATTTTGATCAAGGAACAAGCGTTTCTTCTCAACGAACACCTATTTCCTTGATTCCGTGATCTAATAAGTGGGTCTAGCAGTTAGAACTTGCTATGGTACATGCACCTGTGATATTTGGAGGCTGTAGATAAAACATGTTATGATCACGTTTTTTTACAACAATTTAACAGACAGATCAGTAGCTTGATTTTTCGTTGAACATAAGTAAATTAATCAATATCTTGAATCTTCTTTGACGATTTTACTGAACCGGTACCTTCAGTGTTCTTGAATTATAAGTATAATGGTTTAGTACCTCAATTGTTCACACAAATTATGTTTTAAGTTTAATTTTATGTGGCCAGTGCGGTCCATATGATGATCTTATATTAATCTTGCAGAAAGTCTTGCCAACCAAAGAGATAAATTGCCTTACAAGCGAATGGCGTATACACGAAACCATTTCTGAACAAATAAAAAACCGTACTTTAAATAGAAAAAAATATTTTGTTCCGGGACATATTATTCTGTTTACGTTCTTTATTTTTGAATGTCAAATATTATGGTCGATCATACGACCATTGAAACAAAATTGTTTTTACTGTTAATATTGTTATTTTTTTGTTCTTTTTTTAAAAAATATTTTATAAGACTTTAAATGTTATGGACCATTTAAATTCCAAGCAGGTTTATAAAAGCATTGTTTTCTGGAAAGAGAACACATTTCCACAAAGCCTTGGACGAGCGCCTGGACAAGTATGTGATCAGAGGAAACATTTTTGTGATACCAGTAAACTCCTTCCCGAAAATATTCAGAGGTTTCTTACAGTGTTCTGCATACATATTGTTTGTTACTGCTTATTGTGTCATTGGAATATAACTGGCAGAAGGGATTGTCTTTAATGCCTGTGGCATCAGAATAGTTTGTAACACCCGAGTTGAGCCAAAAAGCATCTTTCCTGTTTCAGCGTCATATGACCATAATTGTGTTGTATTGGCCGGCGTTAAACCAAACAGGCCAATCTAACTGGCAGAAAAAAATGTCGTAGTTACGCCAGTTTCTATTGCATATCTGAGAGGAATTTTCGGTTTTAAGTTAATGAGAAATGTTAATTTATTCTTAAAAAATCAACAACAAATATGATTATACTATAATTATTATAACACACATTAATGATTGGTCACAGTAAAAAAGCTTGGGATAAATAATTCCACTAATCAGAAGCACATCATTGTCGACGAGTAATATATCGTGTTTCAAAATTTGATTTTTCAAATTAACAATGATAAAGAAAAGAACACTATAAAGGAAGATAGTTTTTTCTGATTAAAAGCACAGCATGTCCAAAGAATACAATTAAATCAAATTAAAAGTGCAGATTTTAAACAAAAAACATTGTTTGCTATTGCAATGCCTTTGAAACATTAACTAAATTGTAAGTTAAAGGGACTCCACTGAGATTTTGACAAAACTGAAAATATTTACTGACATTTGAGTATCATTAGATGTAGCGTATGTACAACATTTTAGATCATTCAATCTCTACGTTATCTTAATTATGCTAAATGAACAAAAACTCGAATTTCAATTCAATTCTGTGCATATTTTTTTCTCTCTTACTTTTTCTATTTAAAGTGACATTATGTCCATCCAATGGTATACAATGCATGAATAGGTGAAAGTTAAAATAAAGCTCCGTTTTGCATAATTCCTTTCAATTTTATTATTTACTTCCACAGAATGTCAACATAATTCATGTAGCCAAATGATTTGCAATATTCATTTAATAAAAAGAGTGGGGCAGTCTATTTATTTTTTAGGCAGATTTATATCTTATCCTAAACATGTTCAAGTATCAATTGTTGTTCAATCACAATTAGAACAGCCAATCTGTTGAAAACATGAAGTCAATTCAGCTGAACTTGACAATGAAAACATGATAGTGTCACTTTAAATTACCCCTCATTACCTAGATAAGAATTTCAAATATATTTAGGCTTTTGGACCTCAGTGGAGTTCCTTTAGGTATTAATGCTATACATTGGCATAATAATCAATGATTTCTCATAAAACAATTAGATCCACTTATATTTTTCTAACAATATTTTAAAACTTTCCTTTCATCATAATGTTTTGAAAAATCATAATTTTTTTTGTATATTGCATTATCTTAAAATGTTAGAAAATAATATAACAATATGTTTGATATTTTAATTTATACAAATGCGAGTTAATTTGATACAAGCATGAAATTGACTAAATATGATGGATAAAAAATTACATGTTTAAAGTATACCAAATTACTGCGTGAATGGCTCAGCAGGGCACTTTTTTCTTTTATAAAATTAACATTCAAATAGAGCAAATTTATTCTGGTACATGCCTCGGCACTATATATACATGTACACAATATCATACATTATAAAGGAAAGGAAGTAATAATTAATCCAAATACCAGTTTGCAGAGAAAAACTCTCACCATTCAAAAGTTGTGTATTAACAAATAAATTGTAAACATTCACTTGAAAATATTAAAACAGTTTAAACTACATTTTGTTTTCAAACAAAAATTTAATGAAATTACTGCAATATAAATATAAAATATAATATAAAAGTCATACAATATTCATGGTGTATATGGACAAGACAACGAGTGAGGGTAATCATGTTAATAAGACTATTTTAAACAACAATCACTTTTATTAGAAGGCACGTCACAATAGTAATACTTTGACTGATTAACATAAAATAAGGTGTGTGTTACATGACTATAAACATACTTTTCAATACTAGGTATGATCAAAAAGTTCTCGGCCCGATATATTTCTAGCCACTACACCACGGTGCATATCCATATCGGTACCCTCTTTGCGAAATCTGCTACAACGGTACTCTCTTTGTACATGCACAGGTCATTCTCTGCTAAAAACAAACCATCGATGGATATCAATCCAGTAACATTTCAATGTAATAAGGAAAGGAGGTATGACACATAGAAAAGATGTATACCACGGAACACTAGAATGTTTTCTTTAGATGCTGATTTGTCATGTGTCCTTTTTTCATGTACTGCAACATCACAAAAAGCTACAAAAAATCGACATGTCTTGCCTCGCCCATCACCTTGACATACTTTTCGGGCTGCAATGAATCTTTGGCTTGATTATATATGCATCATACATATTTAATATGTTCATTTACGTATCATCTTCGGACAAATGGCGGTATATTGTCAAAAAAAAAATGTAAAATTCATAAAAACACCATACTTTCGGTTTTGCAGCGACACGGGCTACCTCTCTTCACTTTAATTTTTATATCACAGGTACCATCTCACTTGTTAACACATAAGTATGTAATATTTACATAAAAGTAAGAAATATTACATACCTAACAATTAACGCAAATAAAAGCATATGTTGTGCCTTGAGGATACCTATGTTTTAAAAAATGAGAGGGCACCTGTGATATAAAAATTCAAATGAAGAGAGGTAGCCCGTGCCGCTGCAAAACCGAATGTATGGTGTTTTTATGAATTTCACATTTATTTTTGACAATATACTGTCATTTGTCCAAGAATGATATGTAAATGAACATATTTATTATGTATGATGCATATATAATCAAGCCACAGGTTCATTGCAGCCCGAAAAATATGTCGAGGTGACATGTCGATTTTTTTGTAACTTATTGTGAAGTTGCAGTACATGAAAAACTGTGAAAAATTGGACTGCTGAATCTAAGAGGGACAAGGAGAGCATTGGAAATGATGAGCGGCCTTGGCGGCCAAAAGAGGCCACCAGTGATGAAACTGCCGAAGCTGTGCATGATCTGGTCATATGCGACAGAACCCTGCGAAGCATTGCTAGGGAAGGGAGTATAAGCTTTGGTTCAGTTCAGGCAATTCTGACTGATGTCTAATGCATGTCAAAGGTAGCGATTTGGTCCCCAGACAGTTGACTGACGACCAGACACGGACCAGGTTTGACATTTCAAGATATTTTTTGTCTCGCCACTAGGATGTACCTGATTTTATCTACCGTAGCTCGGATGAAACATGGCTCCATCACTTCGATCCAGAATAAAAAAAACCCCAGAGTATTCAGTGGGAGTACCCTGGCTTATCCCCTCCGAAGAAATTCAACAGGGTGGCATCAGTAGGGAAGATTATGGCTTAAACTTTTTGGGATAGTCAGGGGGTAATCATGATTGACTATATTGAACAGGGCATACCATAAACGGTACGTACTATGCAGACGAATTGAGAAGTTTGTTTCAAGAAATCGCGCGTAAAAGGAGGGGCCAACTTACTGGAGACGTTATGCTCCTGCGCGAAAATGCGCCAGCTCACACATCCCAAGTTGCGATGGCTCCTGCAACTGAATGCGGCTTTGAAATTCTTCCGCATCCCCCATATTCTCCGGACTTGGCCCCCTCTGACTTCTACCTGTTTCCAAAACTGAAAAGCAAGCTTCGTGGTTGACGTTTTGGAAGCAATGAAGGTGTAATGGAGGCGGTCAATGAGTTTTTTGAGGACCAAATAGAGAGTTCTATTTTGAAGGGTTAAACAAGTTGGAGAACAGGTGGGCAAAGTGCATTGATTTTGAGGGCTATTATATAGAAAAGAAAGACTATTAGTTGAGTTCTCTGACTACCGGAAGTACATCGGGCCAAGAACTTTTTGATCAATCCTCTACATGGGGAGAGTAACTTTATTGTCAAAAACTCCTGCAATGTTGTTTGTTTGTTTTTTTACGAATAATTGTTATATAATAAGTACATACATGTATGTCATTAAAATATTTAATAGTATGTATTTATTTATCTATCGAAAAGCGGTTCAGTGCGGATACATCACACTTGTAGTTATATTAAAAATAGACAGATTTATCATAAAAAGGATAAAATAAGTGGATATAGAAACATAAGCTTCTGTATATATATCTTAAAGGTACATTATTGATCAGATTTCTTTTTCTTTTGTTAAAAAGGGAAAACATGAGCTTTATAAAGTTTAACTAATGCTTTAAGAGCATGTTAGAAACTAATCACATGAGAAATATAGCGTTGAATGTATGGTCATATAAGTAGCAAACTATAAACAATGTAATATTTTAACTTCTATACAAAGTATTACATCATAATAATAACTAATTGCCTATAAGCTGAATATGATTCAATTAAATGGCAAACAAGAAACTAAAAACAAAATTAAAAAACGTTCGAAAAAATAAAAACAAAAGCATAATTGGGGATAAATTGTCTTGTAACAAAAAGAAATCGACCTTATTTGAATATGGATCATGCAAATCATTGCGAAACATTTCTTTTTCTTCTTTTTTCCTTCAGAAAAGTGTTAACATAAAATACTTTTAAAATTCAAGAAATTGTAAAATGATAGCAAATCAAAAACAATGTTAAAGGCAAATTGGAAGATTACGAAGATAACAAGTGTTAGGATATATAACACACTGGTAAGTATTATTCAACTTAAATGTATCAAAGCACTAATACATGTATTACTTTTTACAGAAAAATCATATGAAATAAAGTCAGTTTAAAATGAAATTGCGTTTATATTGATCATACTAACAAGTCATTGATTGGCCAGCACAAAAAGGCAATAAAACAATTTTGTAATGCAATACAGTCCGGTTCATATGGTGTCCCTAACCTCCGTGATATTTATATAGTTCGTTATTACGAAATAATTGAAAGATTTACAAGTGTACATAACTGTTTACATTTAATCTGATGTTTGTTTCTTCCTCAAATATTGTAGATTGAACTAGTTTTCAAGAAATTGTGAAATAACACGATTCGTATCTTTTACATAATTGAACAACGGTCTTTTTGCGAGAGAGATTTATGCAGTTTCTCATATTTAAGTCTTAGCTCTGCCAGTTGCATCTCTAGATATTGATCTCTTTTCACTAGCTCTTTGTCACGTATACGTTTGAATTGATGTTCCGTCCGCCAGTGAGATTCACGGCAAAATTCATCTGAGAATAAGTAATCAAAAGAATGTTGTTAAAATGATTAAATTACACATAATATGGGCATGATTAATTGTATTTTCTTTCTCTATGTTATCTATCTAAATTTGCAATGTTATTTTGTCAGTCGTAGTAATTGTAGCATGTCTGTTTAAAATATAACATGATGTGGAAGATAAATTACACTTATATGTTTAACATGTTTCAAGAAATTTCCATTTTGTTTAGTTCCCCCCCCCCATTGTTTTCTCGTTTAGGTCGCACACAATGTTTGAATTGGGAACCATATGCCGTTATTCATGAAATGGCACTGACGTGATTCATAGATAACCACAGTATGAACACATTTGCGGATTGACTTTAAATACCGGATATGGCTTATATTTATCAATGTTATTGTTTTTATATTTTTTCTTGCTAAGGTAATTTATAATGTTGCAATATTAATGCATGCAAACAAATCGTTAAATTTGACCCATAAATAAAAATGATACAGAACAAGTTATATTCGTTGCACATTATATAAAAGTAATATCCGTGGCGAACAGAAGATATCGATTATTAAAATATTATCTTTAAAATAATATTTTTACTCATTATAAAATTCATGACAATGAAAAAATAATGCCTGCTAAATATCGTTAAATTTGGACCATAAATAAAAAGTTTTAAGTAAAGTCCCTTGCACGTTCTATGTAAAAGAATTATATATTTTCTAAGATTCAAATAATAAATAATACATGAAAAAATAGTGAATTTTGGCCAAAAAATTAAATAAAAGTTACAAGATATTTCGTTTCACGTTATCTTCTATTTAAACCTCATATTTTTGTCTCAATTATTTCGTGATCACACTATTTATAATGTTAAAGTAATAATTAATGCAAGAAAAAACAACAACTAAAAAACGTTAAATTTCGGCCATAAACGAAAAGGTAATGAATTAGTTGCACGTTCTATATAAAAGTCATATTCGTCGCGGACAAAAGCACGGACATTGTCAATTTAAGTCCGTGACAAAAGATACCGAATATGACTGGTAATTGTTAAACTTATATATTTTCCCTTTCTGTTCTTGATTACATAACTAACAAGAGCCGGTTCGAAAGGGTGATGCTCCCCGAATAGGTTTTGGACACAGGAAGGTAAACCTCTCAGACAAAGTTCAGAATGTAAAAACAACCCAAATGTTGTGCACGACACATTGTCTCAATATGGTGATCATTTCTATGAAATAGTTATTAAATCCGACTTCAAATAATGAAGTTATGGACCGGACGCGATTTTGCTGCAAGGACATGCTGTGACCTTGACCTTCAAGGTAGCGACCCAAATTTGCGCGCGACACGTCGTCTCTATTGTGATCATTTCTGTGAAATAGTTTTAAAATCCGACTTCAAATAACAAAGTTATGGGCCGGACACGAATTCGGTACGGACGGACGGACTGACGGACGACAACCCGACGACTATATGCTCACTTGAAATTTTTTCGGGAAGCATTATAAGACAAAGATGATAAGACATGCAAAAATTGTTAAATATGGCCCTTAAGTTAAAAGTGACAAGTTATATTCGTTGCACCTTCTATTCTATATACAAGTCTAAAATTCGTGGCGCACAGGAGATACATGCATATATTTCTGACATATTTTCTTTTACACGCCTCCACTTCAAAATTGTGGTGTACGGCATTTCCGAGATAGAGCGGAAGGCCAATTTAAAAGGCTAATTGTAAGTTTTGTTTATGTTTTTGTCTTGTTATTCATTTATTTTTTTAAAAAATCGATCAATGTAGTTCCGTGTAGGATTTATTTAGGCTTCCAATGATCTAAGCTGTTACAAAAAGAAAATAATATTGAGCCCGGGAGAACTGTTCTCCCTTACGAAGCGAACGACAATTTGTTAAATAACAAACTTCCAACCACAGAAACGCTCTACACTTCGGATTTCTTTAAAAGGTGTTTTAGGAATATATCAACCCGGACCAGGAGCTAGTCCTTCGTGCAAAATAAACTACTCTTGGTGGATTTCTTAAATTTGTATAGAGATTTGTTTCGAAGGTAGTTGAGCCAAAGGGCAAGAAATGGAGCGAAAGGTCGGTTGTTGTGCGCAAGGCGATATTAAGTTGGCGTAAAGAGCATAGTCAACGAATTTCTATAAATAAAAATCTAAAATAGACGTTCTACAAAGTACACTATAATCTAGAAGCAAGTTTCATTTTCATTTTTTTCGAAATGAATTTTTTGTATTATTTCTTTAAATTTCAATATTTTAAAAACTGTGTTTGTACGAATTACGCTTAAGCTCTCGTCATAAAATCAAGCGATTCGTGCTTAAAATCTACTTTCACTTTTACAGTTATTTAAAGTAGGTCAAATTATAAAAAATATCAAAAGTAGGTCAGATTATATCAAAATACAACTCGGTAACAGAAATTACATTCTTGGTCAAATTCCATGTCAAGAAAGTAGGTCAAACGATATCAATAATATAAAAAGTAGGTCAGCTGATATCAAAATTAAATTTGGCATCATAAATTACACCCATGGTCCAAATTTCAAGTCTGTGTATTTCAAAAAGCAAGAAACTAGGTCAAAAGATATCATTTATATCGAAAGTAGGTCATTTGATATCAAATTTCAATTTTGCATCAGAAATTATATTTCTGGTATTTTCGGACCGTCTACATTTCAAGTCAGTTTGATGAAATTGAGTCAGTAATGTAACTACTGAAGTGTTAACAATGTTCTCCATATCTGGTGTTGTGACCTAGCTTTTGATCCGAGGTGAGCCATTTTCTAACTTGACCTAGAAATCATCAAAAAATCTTTCAGACCAAAATCAAGGATATTTGAATCAAAACAGTAACCACTAGAGTGTTTACAAATTTTTTCTATTTTAGCGCCTGTGACCTAGTTTTTCGTCTGAGATGAAATATGGAAAAGCAATGCTTCAATCCATTTTTTTCTGGATAATAAGTCGGAAAGGTTGTTATGACTATTTCAAGGTCAAATTCGAATATGGGTTACCTGTGGTCAAAAGCTAGGTCAATGTCAATGCCCACTTGTTTTGTTATATCATCATATTTCGACAAATCATCATTTATTACAAGACATTGATGAAAATCAAATAACCTTGTTCCGTACTAATTAATGATCTAGGCCTTGAAAGTACGAGTATTGTTATTGAATTTTCGCTATTCTTTCCTGCTGTTTCCTGTTACTTTGTTATTTGCATATGGTTTGTTTTCATATTTGGACTTAAATACCTTTTGCTTAAACATTCGCAGAGATTTAAACCTACCTTGAATTTAAAGACACTTTATTTGAAGACTTGATTTGAACACTATCATTTGTAAAGTGTTGACATTTTTTACAAGAGAATTTATTTTAATTTGTATCTATTTGGTATGAAAGTTATTTCAATTTCTGTCGATGGCATCGGTGGTGGTATAAAATCGCCTTCAGCAAAATTTCTAGTTTTTAAAAGGACCAACTGCTTAAAGGACTAGAGTGTAACGATGAGAATTATAGTTCTTAATAAATACTTTCTTTTGTTTGTATTTTTAGGATATACTATTATGTGAAAAAATAAACGCTACATGGCATTTGATGCTAGCTATCATAGAGTATAGCTAACCTGTTCGGTGTAAAAACAAAATAAGATCACTTTGGTTGGGTCCTAACAGTAACATGGTCAAACAAGTGTTTAGAACACCCATTATCATATTGAAACCTGAGTCCCATTAAAATTATGCCTGCCTTATTATGATCTATGCTTTATTTATAAGGAATTCTAACTACGAAATATAGTACCGTATTGGTCTTTGTACTTTTGTCCAGTTGCATCGCGGTACCGTGTCGTCTTTTCATCATGTTTGCTCTTCAAAAACTCGTCAAAGCACTCAAATATCTGTTATAAACAAACATTCATTTGCATGAAAGATTTTAAATGTATCAAATGTTTAATAATTGAAATATAAATAAAGCAAATTATCTGATGAAGAAAGTAATGCTTGTTATCATTTCTGTGATACTTTATTGGAGTCGTTGCTAGACAGTAAGATTAAAGGTGGTTGGTAGGCTAAAGATTTAAAAAAAACTGCACCAAAACGTTTGGAAAAAACTTAATGTCAACAGTTCCTCAATATCTGAAGTCAGAATATAATTGGGGTAAAAATAATATTTTTTTATCCCCCAACCCTCCCACATACTTCTCAGTTTTAATATGAACAGAAGAAAGTTACCGAACAAAAACAAGATCTAATATATTTTTGCATGTATGTCTGTATGGCGAAGGTTCACCCAAAGTATGTAAAAGGTATCAAAAATATAATCTAAAAGACGTTACTAAGTCTTACAACATCTTTGTCATACAGCTTTTTCGCTTCGAAAAAATCTTGTTTTAGTTTTTCCATGTCAGCTTCATAGTAACTGTAGATTTGTGACTTATCCGTCAGGTATCTACTTTTGTTCCTTTTTTGCATTTCATCATACATCTTCGACAATTCCTTCATTCCGTTTTCCTTGCATTTTTTATTTATTTGATTTTTCATCATATCTAAATAGGCTTTTATTTCCGCCTGCAAAAATACATAGAACAGACCAGAACGGTGCTGTTATATAAACATATGTAAAATGTACATTTTTTTGACGCATTCAAATAATTTCCCGTTAAAAATCATCAATATATAAGTTGTTATTATAATAACAAATTTCGAATGAGGGACAAGATTACAATAATCCATTAAACTATGTCCATATTATTCTATGATAAATATCTTTAATAAATCAGCATGTTATGAGATGATGCACGCCAAAAAGACCATTAATTTTTTAATCTTTACATGAAATTAAAGTCGTTACGGCAGTAAAATTCAATTCTTGGTTCGTTCCATTTACTATAAGTCATCGACACCCTTTAAGATGACATGTTTGAATTAATTACCCCTCACTTTTGTGTCGCCTCTAGAGACTAGTGGCGACAAATAAGGATCACTTCTCCGTCATCTGTCTATTCGTCTGTATGTCCGTCACAAAACTTGTCAGATCAACTCCTTAGAAACTTCTGGTGGAATTTCTTTCAAACTTTACAGGTATGATCTGTACTGAGTCTAGTTATGCATATCGTCGGCATTTTCCGGTTCAATGTCAGAGTTATGGCCCTTGAATGATCTTAATTTTAAAAGTTTGTCCGTACTAATTCTCTTATACCACTAAAACAATATCAGTGAAACTTTATAGCTTTATAGCATTGATCTATAATAGCTCAAATATTTGCACATATTACATGGGTTGTTTGGTTGAATAATATTTGGCGGAGTTATTGCCCTTATAATATTTTATTTTTGTCTGGATTTCTTCTCTTATACTACTACTACTGCAATTTCATTGAAACTTCACAATATTGATTGGTAGCTCAAGAACTTATGCATATTACTCGGGTTTTCTGCTTGAATGATTTTTGGCAGAGATATGGCCCTTGATTAAAAAGATGTTAATAAAGTTTGTCCGGAATACCTCTCTTATATCACCAGTGCAATTTCATTGGAACTGTACAGGATTCTTGCGCATATAACACAGGTTTTTCACTTGAATGATTTTTGGCATAGTTATGGCCTTTCAATAAAAAGTTGTTTTTGTGTTGCCAGTTTCTTGTTTGGTCCACTCTTCCGAAACTACTGGTGCATGTTCATCAAAAATTTACAGGACTGATCAATACTATGTCTAGTTGTGCATCTCATCAGCATATTTCGATTTAATGATTATCGTTAGAGCAACGTCCCTTTAATGGTTTTTATTTTTAATTTTTCCGGACTACTCGTGTTATTGGAGAGATCATCAGTTGAGAATGATTGTTTGTGGCATCCATTTTTGCGTATCAAATTGAAGCTAATGCATCGCATTTTAAGCCTTAAAACATTAGAATCAGTCTACAAAAGTTGTTATGCGCATGCTCCGCTTCAAAATACGACTTAACGTAAACGAAAAATTAACATCGAAGTGAACAAATCGGTACAAGGAAAAATCGGAAAATATCATTTACGTTACTTAACACTACGAGCAATGGTTCATTCCGTTTTTAATCCTTTAAACTGTTTAAATCGATACTTGTTTTCTGAATAGCGTTTTACTAATTTATGTTCCGAAAATTAGGAACAGTGAACATTATTGCAACAATATCACCATGCACTATTATATGACCGAGTAAACGGTGTACCGAAAAGTTGCTGCTACCTCCTCTTTTGAACTGGTATGACTTAATTACGCAACGGAGATGTTTTCGCGCAAATGGCGAAAATGGCACAACTTTTTTCAAAATATGATAAACAAGATAAGAAGGAAAGGCGGCGTTCAATGAACGCAACCATCACATGATCCAGCAACAAGAACCAGTGGCTAGGAACCCAGGCGGACAAGTTTAATTTTCTTGCCATATTGTGGTTGGAGGCATGCAGCAGTATATATTGTTTATTCCAATAAAATGATATATACATTATATATATAAATCTGGGACTTAAAGTTGTTTGATTAACATTCTTTATGCCCGTTTTGGAAAATCTCTGGTGCTCTTTATAACTCCAAATATTATAAAAATTATTTCGAAATAAACAAATCTTCAACAGCTACAAAAAGACCTCTCGCATGCTTCTTTTTAAAGAAGCAAACTTGTGCCACTAATGCAATTTTAATGAAAGTGTACAGGATTGATTGGTAGCTTAGTACTTGCGCATTTTACACGGGATTTTCGATTGAAGGATTGTACCGTTATATAGGTACTTTTTAACAGCATTGAATCTTGTTGCGTATTTTTTCTTTCTAAAAATAAAGTGGCAGCTAATTTTTTCTCGTTTCAGCCACTTTTTTCGAAGATCACCTAAAAGGGGATTCATAAGTTAATTAACCATTGGCCACCAGACTATGACACCAAGAAAATTTAGTTGTTTGCACCCTATAGTGCTTTCGGGTCATAAATATCTTTTGTTTGAATAGTTTAAAATTATACATCCGTAACGTGTCAGGTGTGGTAGACAGATGAAAAATATCGTTAATACACATTGTCAAAACCCAAGTCGAGAATATTCTGGATAGGATCAGATTTCTCAGATAATCATCATAACCGCAAATGCGTGTTTTGTTTTGATTTTGAAATGAAACACAACTTATTGTATGTGTATGACTGTTACTCTCAAGTACACTTACAACTTGCAATGTAAGGTGTGTTGAGTTATTGTTACTATTGTTTTATTTAGTTACAGTTACATTTAATTGAAATTCTCAAATGATTATAGTATTTGATCGGGGTTATTGAATAAATAACACATAGATGTGTGGGTAACAGTTAACATATCATCCCTCGTAAAGATACTGTGTGGGTAACAGTATTTCCTTGGGATACTATTTTTACTATTATACGCACAAGCATATGTGTTATTTTAAAAAGAAACACTGATAATATGACCATTTCAATAAATTCAATATCAAAAGTTAAAAAAGAAGCAACACTTTACCAGAAGTTTGTCTTCATACTTGTCTTGAAAGTATACCAATGAGTCTTCCCGGTATTTAGAAAATGCCTTATCAAACAATGGGAGGAACATGGTCTGAAGCTTCTCTTTGTTTTCTATATGTTGAAGTTTGTCCATGTCTTTTTTAAACTCTGTGAGTACCTTGTTCAAAGCTCGCTCATTGCGCTCACAAGACACTTGTTCATATGCTTCTTGACACTTCAAAGTTCTATCTGTCTTTAGTGCGTTTACATAACTCGTGATGAGATTTGCGAAATCTAAATACAAGAACAAAAATGTTTTGATATTTTTCTTGACGATGACACAATGTTTAATATTACGGAAGCTTATCAGGGCCTCCACTCCTTTAAATTTTTCACGTCATGTCAACTTGGCTTTTTTTTCTCGTTTTGACCAAAAACATCCCACGAAGACGTAATAATTAATACGTAATACGTAGAAGTGTTTTAATCATTGCGAAAAAACTTGTTGATTTACGAGAACTATTTGTCAATGAGAGTAACGTCTTTGCGTCCTTCCAAATATTTCAGCAAATGCGTGAAATCACGAAGTGTATGTTTTCTTACTAGATTTTTTTCGAAGAGACAAAAACATCAAGCGTATCGAGAAAAGTTAAGTTGCAATGCCTAAAAACTCTTCATCTTTGTCAGTAAATTTTATTGAGATGTGCCAAAACAACTTATCAATGCGAATAAAAAAAGTCGACTTAGCGCAAAACATCTCATCAACTGTAGGCCCCGTAAAGCTTCCGTAAAATATTACGTTTTCTGTATAAAATAGAGATTATATCATTGTTCTTCGATAATATTAAAATTTAGTTGTTTTTTAATCAATATTCTTTAACTCTGAGAGACAATCACTTTTCAACAAATTGAATTAATGAACTTACAATATCATAACTACAACGTTCACTTGACGATTTTACATCAAGAATTCACATATGTTACTTCAAGAATTATTGATCGTAAATTCGTGATGTTCAAAAAATGATGTTATGACGTTCATATTCGAGATTTCATTAGATTGAAATTGTAAATTGATGGCCGTGTTTGAGTGTATTTCACAAGTCATTTGCCTTTAAAGATAGCTTGTTCTGCTTTTAACATCATTGAATAAGCTAAAACATCATACAGCCATATCAAACGTTTCACAATGGTATTCAATAGAAATAAACAGTTAAACCCCGTTCTTCTTTTGCCTGTCACAGTGGCAAAACATACTTAAGTTATGCATATTTCACACAGGTCAAGTGTAATGTAATATTAATTTGCAATTGATTTACTTGTTATGTACAATGTCCAAACTAAGTTTTAAAATTGTATGTTCACTTTTCAAGTTCTTGATAAGACAAACATTTTACTCTTAGTTACGCAGTGACCTTGACCTAACGATAATGAAATCATTGTCATTGATATAGTTCCAACTAAGTTTGACAATCCCAGGTTTATTCTTCCTTCATGTATTGATCGGTCAAGGCTTTTGAAGATTCAATAATTACTGTGACCTCGACTTATAAACACAGACTCAATAAGGGTCGTCAACTAACCAGATGTAAAGTCTTTAACATGTTACATAAAAACAAGTGTAACAATTCAGTTCAGTTTATTTGCTATCAGCAGCAATTCAGTCTTTGGTCGTTTACAATATTTTCAACTGATGGTAAAGAAACTATACACGATGTCAATATGTGTTTCAAACATATCAAAAGGTATCCCTTTGTACATTATTTCAGTCACAAACGGACACCTGAGTAGAACCACAACGTTCTGTAAGAACATTTGCACACAGATACAAAGTCTATGAGTTAATTTACAACATTTCAAGGGATATTTACTTTGTCCAATTTGTAACATAACATACGTTTTATTGTAGTTTAAGGCATCCGGCCCACGATACACATTATTGTACATTATTTTTATAGTAGTTCATTATTTACAAAATAAATGATGCATCATCAATATATAATTCATATACAAATATTTTTCTTGATCAATACATAAGCGGTAATTATTTACGAATAAGTGAGCAAAAAGAGTATTATTATCAACATTAACAATGCTGAATTTAAGGATGTGTTTTAAAGCAAATTATTCGTGTTCTTTAAAATTTAATACTGTTCACTTTATAAATTTGTTATGCATTTAACATCATCTAGATCATAGTATCGGTTCCAATTAGTTAAATTAGGATGTTCCAACATTTTTTGATGAACATGTTTCTAGTTTCCAAAGCTTTGTATATACTAGTATAGTTTGCAAGAGCGAGTATGCCCAGTTCATCGTCACATGACATAATTAAATAAAATAAGTTAATGTTTGGTTCACAGTTAAGCCACGTTTGAAAAAAAAAACATTGTGTTCTCAGTTCATCATATAATTTACATACAAGCAACATGTGATACTCATCCTCAACATAATGAGCATGGTTATTTAGACAATATGGACAATATCTGAACTGTCGATCAATATTTTGGTGTCGTCCATTTTCAATCATTAAATTGTGGCCAGAGCATCTTAAGTTCGCCAATTGACTTTCAGTTTAAATGGCAGATGTATTGACAGATATCTCTCTGTATCTAGATGTGATTTAAAGTGTTAATAATAATTGGCTTTGGAGAGTTTTCTTCTTGCGAGAGGATATTTAGCGTAGCTCGATCTGTGACTCTATTAACCAGTAATGCCATAAAGTTTGTATGATTTCCAATTTCTTTAGCAATCCACGAATATCCGAGCCCATATTCAAACAAATATCCTTAATACATGCTACCCATGTTTTCCTAACTGCGTCGTCTAGTCTGCGTAGCATTAAATAACATTGTCTTTGATAACGCTCATTTGGCATTTGTAATAGTTCAGTCCAGTATTTAACACATTTGGTTATATAATGTACTGAAATTTGAGCCCTGCCACATTCGCGGAGTGGGAAATAGTTAGCTACATTCTGGGTTTTACCTCAAATACGTATGCAAAAGTCTGTGTACACTTTCTCAATAATGGCTGAATACTGGTAGCTCAAAATTTCTGCACCATAACACAAAATCGGTCGGACTATCGTGTCAAATAATTTAAAAGCGTCTTTAGGGTTAAAGGTACCAAAGTATCGTTGCTAACTCAGAATACAAAACACTGCTTTAGAAGCTTGTTTGGCAAGAGTTGTTCGCGTGAAAGACCAACACAATTTAGGAGTGAAATATAGTCCCAAATATTAAAAGTATGATACCACTTCTAATTAGATACCATTAAAGTACCAGCGTTCAGTACCAGCGTTCGTAGTTACGCAATGGGCCACTGTTTCGAAAAACCATGACTTCAGATTTATCGGTGTTTAATTGTACATGTAGTCCACTATTATTGCAAAACAATTTGATGGTATTTATATGTCTTTGTAAGTTTATAATTCTACTTCTATGTTGAACTCGTCTGTAAATCCGCTGCGCAGACATCAGCGACGAGTGGTGATGTGAAATGTGCTCCATAAAACGTGGGCTAAAAACCTGTCCCCCATAGCTGTATCTGTATATGCAAATGTTGAAACGTCATCGGCAAAAAGAAGAGCGTACAGCTGGCCTGTATCTTCGGATAGAAATATTCTATAAGTAGAACCGGGTCTTATATATTTAACAAGATCAGTGACGTACATTGTAAAAATTTTCGGAGACGTAGAGCAGCACTGTTTGGTTCCACTGTCACAATTAAAGAAGTCAGTGAGCCCGCCATTTTGTTGCAAGTTGCCTTCACCTCACCTGGGACAGAATTCACTTTAACACAGTTTTTAAGTTTTTCGTGAATGGATTGAAAGATAGTCATAAATTTACCATTAACTCCATATCTTCGTAAACAAGACAATAACAGATGATTTGGGCAACTGTCGAAAGCTTTACGGAAATCTACGTAAAACACGTAGATTCTACGCTTTTTACTGATAGATACTTTTGACTGTAGATTAAATAAGTTGTCAATAGTTAAAAACCCTTTTATAAATTTTGCCTGTGATTCATCAATGCCGTCATTATCGCCACACCATGTGTGTTCTTTTTGACAAAATATTTACAAATATCTTGCTTATGCAAGTTGAGAGGGCTAAAGCGCGATAATTATTAGGGTCGTACAGTGATCATTTTTTTGTGAATTGGTGAAATTATGTTTTCGCTCCATGAATTAGCAAAATGTCCACTATCGAAAATTTCATTGAATAAGCCAACTAAATATTCTGCAAAAAATAAGCAAACCATTCGTCTCCGTTAATATAATTCGTAACACTCTTTAATATCGGTTTTGCCCTTTTCAATGTTTCCCAGACTTTGTTGGATCGTTACTACTCGCAATAAGCTTTTCGCCTCATTCCTTTTCGCATTCTTTTCGTTTCATTTTGCATTTTTTTTTTAATTTATTTCGTTTTGCAACATTATGTTCGAGGTCGACTCATGCGCTAGTGTACCGAAATGATCGTAAGCATTTATACTTTTCGCTTTTTAACTTGTTGCAGGTACTATCCCACCATTCAGGCTGAATATCCCTATTGCCCGGTGACCGGCTTCTTAACCTTTTCCACAACGCACCTGCTTTTTTTTATACATTGCCATAAAATCCGATAACTTACTTTATATGTTTTCTCTGTTGCACGTTTAAATAAAATCTGAATATAATCTAGTAAATGTTTGTAGAAAGGCTTCTCGCAGATCATTCTTTCATTTTTACTGGTAAACTGTTTTCAGTTTATTATCACAACAGCGGCCCTTCCCAAGAGCAAAACTAAGTGTACAAAATAGTGGGAAGTTATCTGAAAAGTAATCAGTTCCGACGCCGAAATCCGTTACAAAATCAAATTGAATATAGCCGTTGACGCTATGAAATAATCCACCGTACTTAGTCCGTTATTTGCCGTGCACGTGATTTCACCTTTAGTATCTTGAAATAATCGGCCGTTTAGAATATGCATATCCAAGGTGCAACACATTTCTATTAATGACTTACAAAACTTATTTATAGTACTGTCTTTATTGTTTTTATGCATTTCAAATGTATCTGCACGATAATCAGTTTCTCCGAATATGAAGTCTACTTCGCCATGAGGTATATAGTCTTTCACATCACCAATTCGGGCATAAAAATCGCCCGCAACCATATAGTTAGCAGCGGAGTGATCCGTTATGATATTTCCTATACTGTTACTTAGAAGTTTAATGCCATCTGTGTCGATTGATTTGTAACTAGGAGATCTCTCCGGTGAAACATAAGCGAATATAATGATTAAATCTTTATCCATATGCCCAAGCGATCTCAAACGAAGAACAACACAGTTTTCGAAATGACTGTATAATCTCTC